AGGGAGGGAGGGAGGGAGGGAGGGAGGAAGGAAGGGAGGAAGGAAGGAAGGAAGGAAGGAAGGAAGGAAGGAAGGAAGGAAGGAAGGAAGGAAGGAAGGATGGAATCTTTAAATGTTTGAAGGCCTGTCACTTAGACTGGTTGTGTTTTAACTGATGTCTTGTATTTTTATTGTGAATGTATACTGCTTGTCAGTTTTTGGAAGCCGCCCTGAGCCTGCCTGGCAGGGAGGGCGGGGTAAAAGTGAAATAAATAAATAATAAAATTAGAGGAGGGCAGGGAGCTGTTCCTGTTGGCAGCAGAGGAGAGGAGTCACAATCACGGGACGGGTTTAAATGAAGGGCGGGAGGGTATTGGCTGGATCTTAGGGAAAACGTTTTGACAGTCAGAGTTGTGCCACAGTGGCATCAGCTGCCTGGGGAGGTGGTGAGCTCCCCTTCACTGGCAGTCTTCAAGCAGCGGCTGGACAAAGACTTGTCAGGGATGCTGATGCTGCACTGAGCAGGGGAGTTGGACTAGGTGGCCTGTACGGCCCCTTCCGACTCTGTGTGATTCTATGATGGGTGGAAGGGAGGAAGGGGAAGAGAGAGAGGAAGAGAGGAGGAAAGAAGACAAACAGACAGGATTTTAAGTTCCTGGAAATCGCAGGGGGGGGCTAAACGCCCCCAAGAGGGGCTGGGGGCAGTGGGAAGGGGTTTCTGTTCTAACCTGAATGGTTACAAGGGCTGCTCCTTGGCAAGGTTTCCCAGAACTGCCCCGGCACTCCAGGTGAAGGACCACTTGATCTTCTCTGTTGGTGTAAAGCTTTGGCAAAGTGTCCAGTATCTCGCCGTTAAAAGCGACTTGCTGGGATTCTCGGATCGCGGCCGTTCTGAAGGAGTAAAAAAAAGAAAAAGAAAAAAAGGATGCATCCGCCACCATAAAATGCGCCCCAACTCGCAGTCTCCTCAAACACTTGGAATTCTCCCAGCGGCTGCGATCAGAGATTGGATGCTGGGTGCAGAATCGAGTCCACCAGGACAAAACAGAGCGTTGCCCCCTTACTTGGCATGGTGCTGTAAGATGCTGAGGTTGGCACGAACCAGCTCTTTGGCTTCGTTCTGGTTCGTTAGGCTGGAAGGAGGAATCACGGGCACGGGGGCTTTCATCGGCTGGAGGGGGAGAGAAGGCTGGGGCGCGTCGTACTTCTGCAGATTGCTGATGATTCTCTCTTTGGCTGAAAGAGAAGAGGGGTGGGGTTTTATACCCTGCTTTTCTCTACCTCAAGGAGTGGGGAATCAAACCCGGTTCTCCCAGATTAGAGTCCGCGGCCGCGCACTTAACCACGACACCAAACTGGCTCTCAAGTGCAAGTGCCAATGTGGACAGAGAGCCGGATTCAGGCCAAGACACACCCCTCTGAGCCTGCTTTTCTGAAGCTTTTCCCTGCACGCTTCAAGCACACACCAAAGGAACTGACAATGTGTCTTTGAACATACCCATCAAAGGGTTAGTGAAGTCTACTTGCGCCGACAAGGTACTTGGAGAGGCGTGCGATTCTACCCTGACCTGAAGCCAGAGGTTTATCGCTTCCTCAAACTCGTGCTGGATGCGCTCCACGTTGACAAATTCCATCCATAAATCCTAAGGCGGGACAGAGGACAAAATACGGATGAGCAAACTCTTGTGAACCGTGAGGACAACTGATCTGACTGGACAACTGCACCAGGGGAAAGCTGCGGCATAGACCAGCGGAATATGCAGCGGGAGCATCTTCCACACCACAGGACATAAGAGAAGCCGTGTTGGGTCAGGCCAATCGCCCATCTAGTCCAACACTCTGTGTCATGCGGTGGCCAAAGACCAGGTGCCATCAGGAGGTCCACCAGCAGGGCCAGAACTCCAGAAGCCCTCCCACTGTTATCCCCCAAGCAGCAAGAATACACAGCATCACTGCCCCAGACAGAGTGTTCCATCTATAAAAGGTAAAGGTTTCCTTTGCTCAAAAGCCAGTCATATCCTACTCTAGGGAGCGGTGCTCATCTCTGTTCCCAAGCCGAAGAGCCAGCGCTGTCTGAAGACGTTTCCGTAGTCATGTGGCAGGCATGACTAAACAACGAAGCGCACGGAACGCTGTTACCTTCCCACCGAAGCAGTACCTATTTATGTACTTGCAATGTCTTGCTTCTGAACTGCTAGGTTGGCAGGAGCTGGAGCCAGAGACGGGAACTCACTCCGTCACGCGGCACTCGGGTCTCAAACTGTTGAACTACCGACCTTGCGGTCTGCAGCTCAGTGTCTTAACCTCTGAGCCACCACGGCCTCTAGCTTTCCAGGGTCTCAGGCAGAGATCACAGAGTCATAGAGTTGGAAGAGACCTCCAGGGTCACCTAGTCCAACCCCAGTCTTTCACATTGCTACCCACCTGATCCTTTTAAGGATGCTGGGGACTGAACCGGGGGCCTTCTGCATCCCAAGCAGAGGCTCTACCACAGAGCCACAGTCCCACCCCAACTCCCTTTCCCTAACACTCCCCCCAGCTCCACACTCCCCCCACCATTTCAAACAAGACCATAAAGACCAAAAAGAGGCACGATGCTAACAGAGGTGACACTAGATCTTCTAATGGCTCTCTCGCAGGTCCCCAAGTTTGGATGAGGGCTGTCGCATGGGAGGGGGGTGGGGAGTGGTAGCCTTTCATGCTTGCATGCCCTCCTGCACTGCATTCCCAATCTGCTTGGAGGGCCCTGCACTGCAGGTATCAGCCTTTTGCACACACTAAAGAGAGTCTAACTTAGTTTGCAGACTAAGTTCTGAAAGAACAGACCTTTTAAGAGCACAATTCGAATCCAGTACCACCTTAGAGACCAGCAAGATTTCCAGGGCACCACCTTTTGAGAGTCAAAGCGCCTTCCGTCAGTTATCTGACGAAGGGAGCTTTGACGCGCAAAAGCTTATACCCTGGAATTCATGCTGGTCTCTAAGGTGGTACTGGATTCGAATAGTGCTCTTCTACTGCAGACCAACATGGCTACCCACCTGAAACGCATTTTAAGCACATTCTTCCTTTCCCTCCACTCCCCAATCCCCTTTTCCAAAGGTACCAAAACCCGCCCTGCATCTCCATCCCAACAAGACAACTCCTTCAGATTCCTCAAGATGGGTCGCCGTGTTAAGTCTGTCTGTAGCAGCAGAAAAGAGCAAGGCTGCAGTCACACTAATTTATTTATTTACTTTCCAACTGGAGTTTACTGTGTGAACTGGCAAAATCCAGTTGGAAAGTGGATTGAAAGTGGGTTATTTAGTGTGTGTGACCGCAGCCCAAGGGTATGACCCTTCGGGAGCCACTGCCCGGCTTCCTCAGGTATCTGAAGAAGTGAGCAGTGACTCACAAAAATTCATAAGAACATAAGACATGTCAATGTTGGATCAGGCCAAAGGCCCATCCAGCCCAACACTCTGTGTCACACAGTGGCCAAAAATACCAGGTGCCATCAGGAGGTCCACCAGTGGGGCCAGGACATTAGAAGCCCTCCCACTGTTGACACCCCCCCAAGCACCAAGAAGACAGAGCATCACTTGCCCCAGAGCCCCTATCTATACCTTGTGGCTAATGGCCACTGATGGACCTCTGCTCCATATGCTTATCTAATTCCCTTTTGAAGCCATCCATGCTTGTAGCCGCCACCACTTCCCGTGGCAGTGAATTCCAAGTGTTAATCACTCTATGGGTGAAGAAGTACTTCCTTTTATCATTCATACCGTGCCACAAATGCGGTTAGTCTTTAAGGCGCTGCTGGACTCTTGCCATTTTCTACTGCTTCAGAAATCACTCGGGGAGTGCACCCAGACTGTTCAAAGCCCAAATGGAAAACAGCATGTGAGCTCTGGCTCGATTTCCTTTCCAAACATCTCTTCTACTTTACCCTGAAGACAAGACCGGATGGATTTTTCTTCTTCATAAGCTCCAAGAGCTTCAAAGACTTATTTCAGTTAGTTTTCCTTCCCTTGAACAGCCCCGGGTTAGATGCACACTGGGCATCTGTGAGGAACGAAGACCTGCACGCGCACAAACTATTCACTGTTGAATTGTTCAATCGATGACACAACACTTACTTGTTACTTACTTGGAAAAAGTGCAGAAAAGGGCAACTCGAATGATGGAAGGGTTGGAACACTTTCCCTGTGAGGAAAGGTTAAAGTGCTTGGGGCTCTTTAGCTTGCAGAAACGACGACTGAGGGGTGACATGATAGAGGTTTATAAGATTATGCATGGGAATAAGCAGGTAGAGAAAGAGGTACTTTTCTCCCTTTCTCACAATACAAGAACTCGTGGGCACTCCATGAAATTGCTGAGCGGTCGGGTTAGAACGGATAAAAGGAAGTACTTCTTCACCCAAAGAGTGAAAGGCACTTGGAATTCACTGCCACAGGAGGTGGTGGCAGCTACAAGCATGGACGGCTTCAAGAGGGAACTGGATAAACATATGGAGCAGAGGTCCATCAGTGGTCATTAGCCACAAGGTATAGATAGGAACTCTCAGTCTGGGGCAAGTGATGCTCTGTCTTCTTGGTGCTTGGGGGGGGGGGCAACAGTGGGAGGGCTTCTAGTGTCCTGGCCCCACTGGTGGACTTCCTGATGGCACCTGGTATTTCTGGCCACTGTGTGACACAGAGTGTTGGACTAGATGGGCCTTTGGCCTGATCCAACATTGGCATCTCTTATGTTCTTATGTTAATTCTGATGTTTCAATTGGCCTTGAAAACTTGGGGAAGGGGGGGTGGGAAGAGGGCCAGAGAGAGAATAACCATTTGAAACCATCAACCCCGCAGCCGTGACCCAACCGGTCCACCTCACCTGCTGGTTCTGCATGATTTTGGCGAGCCTGTGAGCATCATACTGCTTGGGCAGGGAGGGGATATACGTGTCCCCTTTCTGAAAGCTCTCTTCGTCCAGCCACAGAACGCACATGTTGAAAAGCCTAAGAGCAAAACAAAGAAAGGAAGATTGGGTGCACAGACCTGGAAGGTTTCTCTTTGGCTATGTCTATCAACAGCGGTTCCCCCCCATCCCCGGCATTCTACCTAAGGCCCATGAAAACTGGATGATTCTACAATCAATCATAAAACTGGGACGGGGCTCTTGAAATCATCTAAGACGGTGCTCTAGTCCACCATCTTGTCTCACAGAGTGGCCAACCACTTCCTCTGGAGATGGCCAACAACAGGACATAGAGACCGAGGCCTTCATAAGAACATCAGAAGAGCCCTGCTGGATCAGTCCTTTGGTCCACCTAGTCCAGCATCCTGTCTCACACAGGGGCCAACCAGTTCCTCTGGAGGTCCAGCAACAGGACATAGAGGCCAAGGCCTTTATAAGCACATAAGAGGAGCCCTGCTGGATCAGACCAGTGGTCCATCGAGTCCAGCATCCTGTCCCACACAGTACCCAACCAGTTCCTCTGGAGGGCCAACAACAGGGCATGGAGCCCAAGGCCTTCATAAGAACATAAGTAGAGCCCTGCTGTGATCAGACCAGTGGTCCATCTATTCCAGCATCCTGTCCCACACAGTGGCCAACCAGTTCCTCTGGAGGGCCAACTACAGGGCATAGTGGTCGAGGTCTTCCCCCGATGTTGCCTCCTGGCTCTGGGATTCTCAAGGCAACATACATCAGTTCCCCTGGAAGAAAACAGCTGCTTTGTAGGGTGGACTCCTATGACATCACATCCCTGCTGGGTTCCTTCCCCTCCACAAACCCCAACCTGGAGTTGGCCACCCTCATGGGACCAGACACCCCCGGAGTCAGTGCACCCCTCAACCCACTTAACCAAGACCAGCCCGCCCCAATTTAGAGGCCTAGTTCACTGCAGAGAGATGTCCGTAGAGACACCAAGAGAAATCGCAGTCTGGAATCTGCACAGGACAGGTCCTCTTCTCGCAAAAGCAAGCAGATAGGCATTACCTGACCAGCTCCTTGTGCAGCTCCGGGGAGGTCAGGTAGTCCGGCTTCCTGCGCCCTTGCTCTCTTGCACTTTCGCTGCCCTCCTCTGTGTTCCTGGGCCGGAGAGCTTTGCTGGCCGTGTGGTGGAAGTCGGCTGCCTCTATCAATCGCTGCTTGAGGTCGTTCAGGAGGCTAAGGTGAGCGGGACTTTGGAAAAACCTTTTCCCGATGCAGCCGTCTACGGGTAGCCTTAAAAACAGAATCCTGGTCATTTCCAAGCAACAAGGAGGGGCTGCTGAAAATTAAGTACTGCTCTCCTGCCTTTCTGACACAGAACTCCACTTCACCAGGCGTTTTTCCCTTGCAAATCCTGGAGAAGTGAGCAGAACTTGCACGGGAGCGGCCCGGACGAGCCAAGCAAGCAAAAGGAGATGCGACCCTCAAACTGGACCTGGTGGGGAAACTTATTCATGATGTGTTTTTGAAAAGGTACCTTCTCCCAGAGCAAGATTCATAAGTTCTCCTATTTCCTAAGGAAGCAAGTCCTTAATTCTCACACAAGGGTCCCCAACTGGATCAGGTTCAAGGTTCTGGTACTAACCTTTAAGGCCCTTTCTTACATGCCCAGGGAAATGCCGATCACCATTTTGGGGGCAGGAAGCCATTTTTCTCCAGGCCACTTTGGCCAGGAATCCTGGAGGTATTTGGCATCTTCTGGCCAAACTAGCCTGGAGAAAATTTGCTTCCTGACCCCAAAGTGGCGACCGGCATTTCCCTGGGCGTGTAAGAAAGGGCCACAAGAACCAAGCACTGAGGCAACCCTTCCTGCCCTCCCTCTCACAATCTGCCTTAAGTTCACAAAATCAGTGTGGCTGTCAGATGGCCATCTAGCCTCTGCTTGAAAACCTCCAAAGAAGGAGAGCCCGCCACCTCCCAAGGAAGCCTGTTCCACTGAGGAA